TTACACTCCTTTTCTTACCGTTTTGACCGAAAAGTATTTTAATGATTTTGGCGAAACATTAAATGTATAATAACTGCTATGAGCACTCAATCAGGGAATTCTTCAAAGTTCTGAACGCAGTAATACACACTATCATATTCGTCAAGATTCTTTACCTTTCCTTTTCTTCTTTTGCTACAACGGCACCTATTTCAACGATAGTGGCTGGAATTCTGTAACTTCGGTTATCATTGTGGTAACTACCGACTCATCAGTAGTAATCTTCATTACAGATGTTCTTATCGTTGTTGTAATGGGAGCATGTGGCGCAGTGATAGGAGGCGCCCTGCAACACACACGTCGAATAGATCCTCGCGCACATGGCCCACCAAGCCTTCCATCTCTCCGGGGTTGGCAAATTGGTATCAGACCTATGTGGGAGGTTAGTAGCACAGGGTCGATACATCGGTAGTCCACCGCGAGTCATTGTAAAGGCCAGATGTGTACTCAGTCACCTCCAAACGATGTCTAACGAAGACGAATGCATTGCACATCTCTCCGGGATTGACCAACGCCGAGAGTTTTATCCTTTTTTCATTTATCGTTGTTGGCGTCTTTGCTCAATGGCTGAAGCTTCAGTGATTTCGCCTTCTTCAGAGAGTAGCCGTGTCTTTGCTCAATTGCTCACGCCTTGGCGACCTCGCCTTCCTCAGAGCCTCAGAGCATTCGTGAATAATACGCAGATGAGTGATAGAAATACCATCGGACACTCTAAGACGCCAGCTGGTTCGCAACCGTCTATATGGCCGCCTATGTATAACGAAAAACTGTATAATTAGACCTAACAGTAGAGACGGTGATTGCATGAGTTCGGGTACAGTCTATATGATCTCTTGTAAAGCGAGCGGGGAAGAATACGTTGGCGAAACGGGTAGACCGCTCTGCGTCCGCGTAAAGGAACACCTAATCGGTAAATCTAAATTAAAACCAAACACTCCACTGGGCGCGCATAGGATGCAGGAACACAACGGAGAAGATTTTGAAGTAGGACTCACTATCCTTACGCAGGAATCGAAAACATCAGCGCGTAAAACTCTTGATGAGTTTTCGATTAATTCCAAAGGTCCAGAAATGGACCGCAAAGAGGAGTGTATCGTCACCACGCGTGACCTAGCGCCATACCTCAGGCTGATTCCACAGGCACAGTCCTCACTCATGTATTACTCTGTGCGGATGCTATCCACCAACTAACTTAAATACTTATAACAAATAAACGGTTCTGAAAAAGGGGAAACCGCCGAAACGACAGCTGTTGTATCCTAATAAATTCTATAATAACAACCTCGTGTCTGCTTATTGAAGAAAAACATCGAATACACAGATGGTCCAACGGCAATCATTTTAAATAGTTTTTTGGCACAGTAGGGACTCATTTAGTGAAATGGTGGTGACGACGATCACAGCGAGCATGGTGCTGGTTCGATCTATCTCCGGGTTCACCAAGCCTCTCAACCCTCCGGAGCCGGAAATTGGTGCCGGACTTGTTCGGGAAAAATCATTCTATACAATCCAAAGAGAACGCTCTAGCCGAGTTATCTGAGGTCTCTAGAGAGAATCGACTCGATCGGCATTCCACGACATTCAAGATGAAATGGAAACTTTTAAGCAGCTACCGAAGCTGCACGCAAAGTTGGAAGACTTTGTGGATGATAGAAACGAAGAAGCGAATCGAATTTGAGAATTACTAAGATCGAAATAGCAGATGTGAAAGAGAGGTCGTATAGAAATAAAAAATGAAATATTTGACACAGTATAACTACAATGACGATGAGACATTCGCAAAACTCCACACCATAGCTGTCTGCGTTGGGGATCGAACGCGCTATTACCCTTTCCGGAGGGCTAAAGCGTCCACCACCTCACAACACGGGTCCTTTGTTTCGCCTTTCTATTAGTGATGTTTTGTAGATGCTATAAGCAACCACCCATCAACGGGATGGGTCTGGGGAGCACAAATCGGCATTGAACCTATTTAAGCTGAAGCTATAGTATAAGACAAAATGTAATCACTTTTGTATTTACTGCCAGAAACGGTAACAGCGTGTTCGATCCCCACCGCACACTTGAGTCCCGGAGTTTTGCAAATATCTCGTCATCATTATACCTATATTCCACAGTGTACCCTGCCATGGAAAAAGAAAAGCCAGTAACTCGAAGGACCGATTTTCTATAAACCTCGGCATAGATAGTTGATATATTTATTTATGTGATCTTATAAACCGATCTTCTTAAGCTGACGCGAGGTTGGTACAGATCTTCGTTGTCGTTGTCGTTGTTTTTGATGTTATTGATCGATGACTGACGTTTCGGCGACTTCGCCTTCCTCAGAACCTGGACGTATTTAATATTAGAATGTTTTTATTATTCCGTGGAAAAGAAAGGTTAAAGTGTTAATGAAGATCAAACTTTCAAATAGACGCCATATTCAACAGAAAGGCCACTCACCGTGATGTTACGTGCGGGACTGGCCCACGCGTAGTTCACGTGGAGTCGCGAGCAAGACACGCCCCGGGGTCAAAATATCATTTTGAAACAGCGCGCCAGGTCACGGGTGATAGTGAGGCATTCGTCCTTCCGGTTCATCTTTGGATTTTTCAAATCTATCCAAAACGCCTCAAGAGTTTTGCGCGTTGATGTTTTTGATTCCTGCGCTAGGATCTGCACATTCACTTCAAAATCATCGCCGTTGTGCTTTTGTGCCCTATGCGTACCTAGAGGGGTGTTTAAACGGATTTTAGCTTTCCCATCTAGATGTTCTTTTATGCGGACACAAAGTGGTCTACCCGTTTCCCCGATATAATCCTCGCCGCATGCATTACATGAGATCAAGTATATTATACCTAAACTCATGCAATCCCCATCTCTCCCGTTAGGACAGATCATACAGTTTTCTGAGCTGCACACACGATCATAGAGACGGTTTCGAACCAACTGGCGGCGTAGGGTATTGGGTGAGATGTCAATAATCGTTACATAATTTTCAAGGCCACTATTTCTTAAGCACTTTTTCATTTGACTTCATTTGCGTGACTTCATTTGATATGAAGGGCAGCTTAAAGTGAATCTTACTTTCGTCTGAACTATCATTTTGGGAAACTAGTTTCCAGTTTTTTCTAGAGTGTCTTAGTTGTTCAATCTTCAGGTGGTCAAAGACTGGCACAAAGTCTTGCTATTGCATTTATGTCTAAAATAGAAGCCGCCGTTTTTGATCTTCGGCCTTCACTCTACTGTCGATACATAGACGACTGCTTCATCGTCTGTTCCACACAAGAACAGATGGATGAGTGCTTTGAATTATTAAACCGACAGTCAGAGTATATAAAATTTAAACGAGAAAAACCTACCGAGAACTGGCTTCCATTCTTAAACATCCAAATAAAGCTCTCAGTAAGTGGCTATTTAACAAAATGGTATCGCAAGCCAAGTAGTAAAAGCATTCTGGTTCACTGCCTCTCCTCTCATCCTTCACACATGAAAAAAGCACTTATCAAAAATATGAATCGTACGGCCAAGAATGTGTGTACGGGAGAAGAGGAAAGGAAGGAATCGCGAAGCCTGGCACGAAAAACTGCCATTTCCAATGGCTACGAAGTAGAAGCCACTCGGGTTAGAGGAAAACGTTGGGCAGTTTCCCAAAATAATATTTCAGACGAAAGTAGGATCTCCTTTAAGCTGCCCTTCATATCAGATGAAGTAAGTCAGGCCACTAAAAAGCGCTTAAGAAAAAGTGGTCCTGAAAATTACGTAACGATTATTGACATCCCACCCAATACCCTACGCCGCCAGTTAGTTCGAAACGGTCTCTATGATCGTTTGTGCAGCTCAGAAAACTGTATGATCTGTCCTAACGGGAGAGACGGGGATTGCATGAGTTTAGGTATAATATACTTGATCTCATGTAATGCATGCGGCGAGGAATATATCGGGGAAACGGGTAGACCACTTTGTGTCCGCATAAAAGAACATCTAGATGGAAAGGTAAAATCCGTTTAAACACCGCTCTAGGTACGCATAGGGCACAAAAGCACAACGGCGATAATTTTGAAGTGAATGTGCGGATCCCAGCGCAGGAATCAAAAACATCAACGCGCAAAACTTTTGAGGCGTTTTGGATAAATTTCAAAAATCCAAAGATGAACCGGAAGGACGAATGCCTCACTATCACGCGTGACCTGGCGCCCTATTTCAAAATCATATTTGGCCCCGGGGAGTGTCTCGCTCGCGACCCCACGTGAATTAAGTGTGGGCCAGTCCCAAACGTAACATCACGGTGAGTGGCCTTTCTGTTCAATATGGCGTCTATTTGAAAGTTTGATCTTCATTAACACTTTAACCTTTCTTTTCCACCGAACAATAAAAACATTCTAATAATAAATACATCCAGGCGCTGAGGAAGGCGAAGTCGCCGAAACGTCAGCCATCGATTAATAGCATCAAAAACAACGACAACGACAACGACACGAAGATCTGTACCAACCTCGCGTCAGCTTAAGAAGATCAGTTTCTAAGAAAAGGCAGTAAGTAAGGCATAGAGGTCCACACTCATGGTTCCAGCCATCGTGCGACGAGCAAACTGAATTCCCGTGAAGCCGACCAGGATGAAATGTTGTTTGAACAATGGAGTTCAAATATCGGAGAATTCAAACGATCATAGAGGCGTTTGCGAAGCAGTTGACGGCGCAGGGTATTGGGTAGGAGGTCAATAACCGCCACACAACTTTGAGGAACACTTTTTCCTAGGGATCTCTTCTTTTCCCCATCCAACTTTCTTCCCAACTCTAAGGCTAAATTAACTGATGCAGTGATGTAAAACAGTCATACCAATACAATGCATTGTATGACGGCGTAGCCACGGGAGTGGTTCGCAACCACAGAAATTACACACTACAGCCATCCCGTCGGGAAATGTTTACTTGTGATTGCTCAGGTGATCATGGGAGTGGTGTCCGTATTAGGTAACCATTGATGTTCCTTGGGATAAACGAGAGAGTAAGTTAGTCAGTTATTGTTATGGGCGTAAGATTGTTTAACATTAACAGTCCCGCACGTAACATCACGGCTCTGAGGAAGGCGAAGTCGCCGGAACGTCAGCCATCGATCAATAACATCAAAAACAACGACAACGAAGACCTGTACCAACCTCGCGTCAGCTTAAGAAGATCGGTTTCTAAGGTCACATAAATAAATTGTTTAACATTATTATTCAAAATGATAAAATCTCGCTGTAGCCTGGTACAATATTACCCTTTATGATTTTATCCGATTCGCACTCTGTATCGCATCCTAGTTTCTTTTCTTCTTTCGCACTTTCGTTTCTCTCTTTTACTTTTACAGGTACTACTGTCTGTAATGGAGAGAACGAATGGGAAGTTTACGAAGAGGCATCCTGTAACGGATGAGGAACGAGCGGCATTGATGAAGAAACTCGATGATGACTTGGAGCTGTTTATGGAGGAAATGGCTGCGAAGAAGGTGTCCGTTTTTAGTCGTCGTTTTCCTTTTCATTCTCACTTTTTCGGTTCTCTTCTTTCTTTTGTTTTCCTTTTCTCTTTCCTCTTACTGGCGTATTATCAACACTGTTAACCTTTTTTGAATATGTAGTGATAACTTAGGCAGCAGAAAATGTTGAGAAGAAACCGTTCGATTTCAATGAGTGGTGTAGTGATATTGAACAACACCCTGCTTTCATGAAGGATCTCGAAACTGGGCTAACGGGAAAGTACGCAGAGACAATAAGTGCTCTTCAGGTATCTCTACTTTTCTTCATACTGCTTGGAACTTGGTATTGGGTGGCCTGTCTTCACTGGTTATGAGGGTCCCAGCATAATTTCCATTGCTCCGGAATTTTGCTAGTTTAACCATTGTGGTTCCCTATAGTCCCAAGGTCAGCCGTTGCAAAGTCTGCTCCAAGTCGTCACCGCCACAAGCAGTCACAGCCCTTGTTGATCAGAGAGAGATTTGCCACCTTGCGACGAGTTTAATGTCAGGACGGTGGTGGATCCTGGCATTGATTTACTCCTAGCTCAGCTTCCTGATGGAAACACCAGGCTCTTTCTTAGCTTGAGAGGCCGTGCTAGGAGATGAGCCCCCACATCTCCCTGCCGCGATGAGGTGGTAAACCGTTGGGAGTTTCTTCATTCTATGTTATTTTGCTTTCACTTGAAGTTTTTACAAGTTTAAGGTTTTTATTGTATTTGTTTCGAAAGTCAATCCAGTTTTGTTGAGCTTGTTCAGTTCTTTAATATGTCTGTGAACTGGTTTAGGCAATGAAATATGACGAAGATGTGGACGAGGATAAGCAGATGAATGCAGAGCGGCATAGACAGGAAGGAAATAAACACTTCAAGCTGAAGAAGTATCGTTGGGCAACTGATTGTTATACTGAAGGTAGACTCCCATGTTTTACCTCCTTGATGAACCATCCGTGACTCGCATTGGAAATAGCGTTAACTGGTGACAACGATAATTCCTATTTCTTACTTTAAATGGCTTTTGCCAACATTCTTGGGATTTTTTGTAATTCTGTCTGGAAGAGGGAGATACAATCATGGAAATAAAGACTGCATTTTTTAATCTTAATTCTAAAAAAACGAATAATGCTCTGGCGTTGATCAGTCCCTGAGGGATGTCCCATGCATTCGACTTCACCTAGCATCGTTAGAGGTGTTTGGATGCATATCTGGCCTTTACAATGACTCGTGGTGCCCTACCGATGTATCGAGCCAGCTCTGCTATCCGCCCAGGCACGTCTAGTACCAGTTTGCCAATTCCGGAGGGATGGAGGGCTTGTTAGGCCTGGGGCGCGGGTCTCGATCACATGCTGCAGGACGCCTTTGACCAATGCGCCACATGCGCCCTCTTTAGTTTTACTTACTACTGATAATTACTGGTAATTTCCATTGCCGCCTGATATAATCTAATGCCGAGGTCAATAGAAAGTCGATCCTGGGAACTAGTAATTTCCTTCGCTGTCGTCTGATATAATTAATATCTGGAGCTATTTGGTTTACGACTCAGTGGAAATAATTGTATTTCCCTTTATGTGCTACTCTTCAACGCATTTCTTTCGTATGCCCATCCATAACTCTGGGTATCGTTTATGATGAGGCCATTTAGCCATTTCTTCAAAGAAACCACACCTAAATTACTTTACTACTTACAGAACGCTTCCTGTTGAAGGTGAATCCATATCGAAATCTGTGTCGTTTAAACTGGTATAAAGTGCCACAAAATATTGGTAATGGTGCACCCGAATTTGGTTAAGTGGCTTTGAATTTGAGGATCGCATATCTCTAGAATGGGCGCGTGTGGAGCAGTGGTGAAAGGCGCCCTGCAATACGCATGGGACCAATCCTTGTGCCCGCGGCTCACCAAGCCTTCGATCCCTCCGGGGTCGGCAAATTGGTACCAAACTAGTCTAGGAGCATAGCAGCACTGGCTGGATACATCGGTAGGCCACCGTGCATCGTTGTAAAGTCCAGATATGCATTCAATCACCTCTAAAGATGCGTGATGAAGTCGAATGCGTAGGGGATCTCAAGAACAGATCAATTCCAAGAGCTTTATCCTTTATCATTTGACGATCTTTATACCCTCATAGGTATTCTAAAGTCGAACTCTAAGGTATAGATGGTTGTAAATATGAGTGCTATTTTTTTGAATGGTTATTAAGATGTTGGCAAACTCGGAGTTTATAACGAACCATAGTGTCAGTTTCGTAAAAAGTAGTTGATAAGAGCAACTGTGATCGACAAGGAATGTCTTTCAGCATTAAGATGGGCTCCAAGTAATGAACGATTGTCGTGTAACCAACCTACTACGCTTCTCTTTGCAGAATTGCTTATTTGATTACACTCTCATACGTCTACTAAAGGAGGTCTGTAACACTATGACTAAACCATAGCTGTAGCCCAAAGGAAATAAGGGCATATTGCTAACCCAAGCTTTCGCAAATTGTTAAACCGTCAGTCTAGTACTGAATATGTGCATTGTCAGAACTGTCTTAAGCGTGCTATGCTACCCAATCTTGTACTTCCTTTGCATAACGTTTAAAAAATCTTTTGTGGGACTTTTATCTTCTGCTAACATAAGTTTTACAGTACTTTGCTAGTGCGACTTTCGCTTAACCTTGGCCTTAATATTAATAACCAATAGATTTCTTTAGATTGTTCAACTTACGTGAGTTTGTTATACAACTTAGGTTCCAGGTTCTACTAAGTATATGACACATTTTTTGGTTCTAGGTATAAAGCAGAAGTGTTTGGACCGTAAGCTAAATTCAATTCTCTACAGTAATCGGGCAGCAGCGCAAAAATATATCGGGAATCTTCGATGCGCTGTAAAAGACAGTGCGATGGCTCTGCGATTTGACCCTACGAATTTAAAGGTTCGGTTGTTTTTGTTGATTTGTTGTCGAGGTCACGTCAAGCTGTTTTAGACTGGTCCTACTATTATTTAATTGCCACCTTTTCAACTACCATGTTTTAATCATTTTTTGAACGAAATGTTCAGGCCGCAACGAGAGGTGCGGAATGTCTTTTGAAGCTTGGCCATGCCAATGATTGTGTTGACTGGATTGAGCTGGCAGTGAGAGACTTCGCATCTAGCAAAGAAATCTATGAAGAAGGTGCATCGTCATTTCATTTTGATAGTTATACGTGGTAATGGACAACAGTGTAAGGGTGCTTGTAGCGCAGTGTTCGGAGCCGCCTTGTGATACGCATGGAATCAATCCTAGTGCCCAAGACTCACGAAATCTTCCATCCCTCCAGGGTCGGCTAATTGTTACAAGACTTGTCTGTAGGGATAGCAGCGCTGGCTCAGTACATCGGTAGGCCATCGCTGTCATTGTAAAGACCGATATGCATTCGATCACCTCCAACAATGGTCAACGAAGTCGCACGCATGACGCATCACCCTAGGATTGATCAGTTATGCTTAATATGATATTTTAGGTAGACTAGATGACGCTGAACGGAACCAGATTGTGTCATTAGAAAACATTAAGGGAAAAGCAATGGAAATGGCATTGACTGTGGAAAGAAACGAAAGAAAAGCTCGATTCGAGGTTTGTTCATTAAATATATATGTATATACTTATAATTTTCGCTTTCCCAGTAATTTGTTCTTTTTTTCTCAGGAGAAGAAAGATATTGAGGCTAAAAGTCGCCTCCTAAAAGCACTTGCTGAACGTAGACTGAATTTTCGCCCTCGTCTCCCTTTCGATCGACCTGAGTTGATGGATTGGTCTCTTTTAGAAGTTAACCTTCCACAAGCGTCTGAGGTGTGTTGGCTCCACTCTTCCTTTCTCTTGAGAAAAGTAAATCTGCTACTCAATTTTCTAGCATTACCGTGTTTCCTTCAATGACGATGGCAACCTACAGTGGCCTTTCTTGATTCAGTATCCACAGGTCCGTGTTAAATTTGTCTAAAATGTTGAGTAAAGCAGCGTTTTAACCTACTTCTTGCCACCGTTGGCTATCAAACGTTTTGTAAGATGTTCTTATGTAACAGAATTGGTCGCATTCGATTAATCAATGCGAAACATAGAAGACATTGCTTTTAGTGGATTTGTTCGATTTCCAGGACAACCGTTTGCGGCTCTTTTCCATAGACCCGGCGAAGTTAAGCTAGATGACTACATCTAGTAACCATGAAGATGTTATCATGTCTGTGCAGATACATGCAAAAGTTATTCCTACAACGAACTTTTCATTAACCTCAGCATTGATTCAATAATTCTTAATTCTCTTGTTGAGCAAACACGAAGTGTGAACAAACAGCCAAGCATCTCCATAAACAAATAAAGAAAATGCTAAACTAATATTTTAATGATGGAAAGATGGTGGTCAACTTGACCTTTCCAGCCCCTGAGGAAGGCGAAACCCACCTAAACGACAGCTTTCCATAATTGAAAAGGTGTTCTTACGTGCTGTCACTATGCTTCGGCTTCGTATTTGTACAACCAATGTGCAGGTCATCGCTGATTGCCGGTCAAAAATTTTTCTTTTTTATCGCACATCAAACTAGGAATAACGAGTCGTCTTTGTTGCACCATGGAAGCGCAAACCTGCCTTCATAGCGACGGTTTATTTGCTTTTAGTTCAATTAACGCAGCACTTATTTGTCGTCTTTCTTAACCTTTCCAGTTCGGTTTTTTTCCCAGAACTGTTGCTCTACTTCCTCCAAATATCTTTATAAGCTCTCGAATTTCTTCGGATGGATCAGCTTCTAGTGACATAGACAATTAGTTATCTTTGGTGGCAAGCATCAAAAATTCTCATCTTTAAAGTGGAACCAAAATACCTAACCATTTGACACTAAAACAGTACAATACGATGGTTGGTTCGAGTGGCAGAATTGATATTTTAAATTGTTCCGCAATTTCCTTTCTTCTACTTTCCAAGTTTAAGTTTGAAGAAGAGGTTTTTCAAACCATCATTGATCACTTTTATCCAAACAGCCTGTGAATAACCGAAACTTGAAAAAGTTTTTCCTGTGTCGTGGTCAAAAAGACAAATTTTAAATTATTTCGCAAACATCGTAGTAATTTAGTTCTTTCAGGTTGGTCAAGTCGATGTGTTAACCGATTGCGATGAAACGTCACAGGTTGGTTCAGTCATGCGACCAATGCTTGAAACACCAGCCGAGTGGGATATAGATCACATGTTCAGGTAATTTAAAACTAATTGCTTGGTTCTCTTTATTCAACATTACCTGCACAGTGAATAGATAGATTTGTGCTAGTTAGTTGGTACCTGTGTGTCTTCTTTTTTCAGAATCACAGGTTCTGTTTTTGCGTATTACTTGCTTGGATACTTGGATGGCCCGTCTTCACTGACTGTACCGGCCCCGGCTTAATTTCCACTTTTTCGGAGTTTTGCTTGTTTAGCCATTGTGGTTTCTTGGAGTCTCGAGGTCAACCTGGGCAAAGTTTGCCCCAGGTCCTCACCACCACAGGCAGTCGCCACCCTTTTGGATCAGAGAGAGATTTGCCTCCATGCGACTAGTTTGTTACCAGAACGGTGGTGAATCCTGTACTGGTTTGCCATTAGCTGGGCTTCCTTGTGGAAGCATAGGACTCGTTTTCAACTTGGGCCTTGGGGGGATGAATTCTCTCGCTGTACATCGCAGCCTGACACCCAGGAAGACTTGCTAACCACGGTGAGGCGGTAAACTGTTAGTAAGCTTCAGCGTACTGTTTAATGGAAATGCGTAATTGGAGATATATTTATTTTCCGCCACATTACATTGTTTTTCTGGTCAATTTATCTTGCCTTACAGGATAGACAATATCCGCATGTTTGCATCAGACGAGTGGAACGAGTTTGTTATGGAGGTTTGGGAGTGGTCTACATTTGGATCTGTATTGTCTTTGCCAGGATTTCAAATTGTGCAAGGACTGCCTGTTATAATGGTAGTGTCTTCACTTAAGTACTCTTTAACAGAAGTGCAGAGGAATAACGAAATTTATTACGTGAATGTAGTAAACTTGGATAGTCGGATAGCCCGTCTTAACTGGTTGTACCGGCGTCAGCATGATTTGAATTCTTTCGGAGTTTTGCTGGTTTAGCCACCGTAATTCGCTGGATTCCCGAGGTCAACCTAGCCAGAGTCTGCCAGATCTGAAAATTACTATGTGAATGTAGAAAAACAGCACAAAAAGACCTTTTATTTTGTGACTGTGTGGAAATATTTGCTACTAAAGGATAAAAAATAAGGATAAAGCTCTCGGCATTGGTGAATCCTTGAGGGATACCCCCGAATTCGACTTCATTAAGCATCGTTAGAGGTGGTTGAATGCATACCTGGCCTTTACAATGACTCGTGGTGGCCTACCGATGTATCGAACCAGTGCTGTTATCCTTCCAAAGAAGTCCGGTACCAGTTCCCCACGCCGAAGGGATGGAGGGCTTAATGAGCCTGGAACGCGGAGATCGATCCCATGCGTATTGCAGGGCGCGTCTGACCACTGCACTACACGCGCTTTTATCTGATATTATTACCGTTATACATGTATTCAGATATTTAATGTTTTTGTATTGTGTGTATTTAGGTATCTATTATTATTCGTCCCTATTTTTTTTTCCAGGTCTTTACTCGCAGCGAAGTAGAGGAAAAATTCAAGGTTGTGGGCGAAAATAAGTTCATTATCGACTAGGTATCTTGTAGGCGGCTTATTGTTACAGTTGTTTTTTGTTTTTTTTTTTAAAGTGTTATGATGTAAAAATTACAAACTTTTTTTCTGCCACGTTATTGTATCATAATGTTGTACATAAAGTTCCACTATATAGAAGTTACTTTGGGAACATTGCAAGCTCTTCATTGATATGTTGAAAGAAACATTATGAAACTCACAAAAGGATAAATTTAGACCATGTAGGTAAAAAGGTGGGTATTACAAAGTAGATTTGAGTGATGTACTAAACCAACAATGTGTTAGTATAGCTAACACGGATCATGAAGATTTCGATTAACGCGGGTCGACTTCCAGTTCCTTCATTACTGTAGTTTTTACAGCAGGAATGTAATTTATACAAAATCGAAAGCCTCTCCGTGAACTCAAATATTTTCTCATCCTTGGTAAATATTGTTCTTGATCCAACATGAGTATGTTACACTTGACGTGTAGTTTTCGCTATCTATACGATAACTCTCTTCCCGCTATCAAAATATCTGTAGCCCTCTTCCATGTTTTCTGATGTAATGGAAAGGCGTGGTATTTGTGATACATGAGAACTACTATGACGCTTTCTCCGCAAAAAAAAACACACACACGTGGTACGCCTTATGTTTGGAATGGTAGTACCGCTTAGTTGTTGCCTAATATGACCTACCATTTATCACGTATTACCATACTAAAAGTCCGATGGGGAAGCATCAGTAGTCTCAACTAACAATGTTTCACGTCAATGTTCCGTATTTCTCCTCCAAAGTTTTCACAAAAGTAATTTGACCATCGAATTGATGGGTCCTTGGTGTTAGATTTATATGAGGGAGAGCCTAGTGACTGACACTTTATAACAAACCGCGTTTCAAATTCAAAAATGCACTGCCAACCAAGGAGCGTGTGTAGCGCAGCAGTCGAAATCGTCCTTCAATAAACATCGGATGAATGCCCACGCCCTGGTACAGCAGGCCTTCCATTACTCCGGGGTCGGCAAATTGGTACCAGAGTTGTCTGCTAGGATAGTAGCACTGGCTCGATGCATCGTAGACTACCACGAGTGAGTAAAAGCCAGATATACAATCAATTAGTGCCAACGATGCTCACTGAAGTCGAGTGATTGGTGCAGCCCCATGGATTGATCAACGCGGAGAGCATTATCCTTTATGGTCACGCTGGACTTCGCCAAATTAGTATATGCGGCAGCAGTTTTTCCTGCGATTGTCGAAGTGATTTGGACCTGGTTTTCTCTGCCATTTATGTTGTACGGGATACTTCCTCGCTCTCGCGTAGTGTGTCCAGAAATGCTGAATTCAGTTCTGTTCTGCTTGGGTAGCATCAAGGATTTTGAATTGTATTTTAGGGCGGGTGGAACTATGGGTACAAAGAACTGGGTACTCATCAATATGTTTTTCGGTTACCTCACTACTGAATAGCGTTCTATACTCCCCGAGGGTTGTGGCTCGGCGGATCACGACTTCATACGAATACCAAGTCGTAGTTGCCACGCGGCACCTTTGTGGGGTAGTCGCTAAGTCGAACACCTCAAGCTTGGGTAATTAGACCTTTTACAAATGTGTAGGCACGGTTTAGACAACAACGCAGTAATGAGATTTGAAACGTATCTACAATAAATTACAAGTGAGGTGGTTAAGTGGGTTTCTGTACCTAATAAATTGCATTAGCAATGATGTAGAGCATTATGCAACAGGTTTATAGTGATATGAGTAACTAGCAAATACTGATAGTGTAAAAATATTGCTAGTAATTACAACAGGGTTAAGATTTACGTGCTCACAGCGCAAGAATGAAACGCGATCGCGGGAATAGTTTAGCAATAAGAGTGAAAAACTGCTGTATAGAGCACCTGTGAGCAACGAAACTATTCAACAAAACTGTTATGTTAACAACACGCAGTAATTACATAAGAATCGATGACAACATTAATGCATTAGAAATGTAAGAGCTACAGAGTTCAGTTAACATCGTGTGTGCGTAGGTGGATCGAAAGGATTGTGAATGAGAACATTATGTGGGAGAGCAAATGATGAGGGAGGTCACCGGCGAGCTCCAAGGCGTCTTCAGAAAGCAAATTGCCGCGTTAAAAGGCGTGGCTGGATCCGAGCGAGTGGCGTGGGTCGTAGGGTTACGGCACGGGTGGCAGTCTCCTCCCCAAGCAATGCGTCGTGTCTGCTAACATGCCTGGTAGTGTCTGATGGTTATAGTTGCCGTATCTACTGGAGTGTTCGATGGTTATGATGAGATGTGAATGTAGGGCACCCGCCACTATAAGAAGACATATAGAATAAACTCGAAAGACCGACTTTCTATGAACCTCGGCATAGATAGTTGATATATTTATTTATGTGATCTTATAAACCAATCTTCTTAAGCTGACGCGAGGTTGGTACAGATCTTCGTTGTCGTTGTCGTTGTTTTTGATGTTATTGAACGATGGCTGACGTTTCGGCGACTTCGCCTTCCTCAGAGCCTGGACGTACGTTATGTTAGAATACTTTTATTATTCGGTGGAAAAGAAGGTTAAAGTATTAATGAAGATCAAACTTTCAAATAGACGCCATATTGAACAGAAAGGCCACTCACCGTGATGTTACGTGTGGGACTGGCCCACACGTAGTTCACGCGAGCAAGACACGCCCCGGGGTCAAAATATCATTTTGAAATAGGGCGCCAGGTCACGCGTGATAGTGAGGCATTCGTCCTTCCGGTTCATCTTTGGATTTTTGAAATTTATCCAGAACGCCTCAAGAGTTTTGCGCGTTGATGTTTTTGATTCCTGCGCTAGGATCCGCACATTCACTTCGAAATCATCGCCGTTGTGCTTTTGTGCCCTATGCGTACCTAGAGGGGTGTTCAAACGGATTTTAGCTTTTCCATCTAGATGTTCTTTTATGCGGACACAAAGTGGTCTACCCGTTTCCCCGATATATTCCTCGCCGCATGTATTACATGAGATCAAGTATATTATACCTAAACCCATGCAATCGCCGTCTCTCTCGTTAGGACAGATCATACAGTTTTCTGAGCTGCACAAACGATCATAGAGACGGTTTCGAACTAACTGGCGACGTAGGGTATTGGATGGGATGTCAATAATCGTAACATAATTTTCAGGACCACTTTTTCTTAAGCGCTTTTTAATGGCCTGACTCACTTCATTTGATATGAAGGGTAGCTTAAAGGGGATCTTACTTACGTCCGACATATTGTTATGGGAAACTACCCAACGTTTTCCTCTAACCCGAGTGGCTTCTACTTCGAAGCCATTGGAAATGGCAATTTTTCGTGCCAGGTTTTGCGTTTCCTTCTTTCCTCTTCTCCTGTACACACATTTTTAGCCGCACGATACATATTTTTGATAAGTGCTTTTTACATGTGTGAAGGATGAGAGGAGAGGCAGTGGACTAGAATGTTTTTACTACTTGGCTTGCGATACCATTTTGTTAAATAGCCACTTACTGACAGCTTTATTTGGATGTTTAAGAATGGAAGCCAGTTCTCGGTAGGTTTTTCTCGTTTAAATTTTATATACTCTGACTGTCGGTTTAATAATTCAAAGCACTCATCCATCTGTTCTTGTGTGGAACAGACGATGAAGCAGTCGTCTATGTATCGACAGTAGAGTGGTGGTAGGTGATCGAGAACTGGAGCTTCCACCTTAGACATGAAAGCGATGGCAAGGCTTGGTGCTAAACGCTGCCCCATCGCCAACCCTCCAATTTGTGCAAAATATTTTTCAGACCACCTAAAGATTGAACAACTAAGACACTGTTTTAAGAGGGTCTTTAGTTGCGCAATCGACAAGCCGTGCATTTTT